CAACAAAATAATGCTTACATTATCAATAAAATTATCCAGAAAGTACGCGAATCCCCTGTTATTGGAACACCTTTATCCTTTATTCAACTTTATTCCAAATGTTGGGATGCATCGCCTTCGCTTCGTCCTACTGTAGATCAAATTCTTAATAAACTTAAAAATTTATTGCTCGATCCAATGTATAACGGTGATAACTTTGTTAATGACATAACGTTAAATACAAACGGTGAATTTTTGATTATTTAGTTAATACTGGAATGTTGCTTTTATACTAATATACTGTATATATTTATTTAGATTCGAATAGGCACAATTATTCCGCAGATATTTTTGGAGAATCTTTTGATGTAAGTAAAAGTTAGGTTGAACATTCCGTGTAAATTTATTTATAACATTTTATTCATTCAAACAGGATAGTATAAGCAATGGTTTTTCTAATTTTCATAGAAAGTAAGTATAAAGTTTTTAATAAAAGGTGCATGTGAGTTGATAAATTTACAGATAAAAGAATAAATGGTTAGATTTATTCTACATAAATAATAGTTTTAGATTAATTTTTAATGAGAGTCAATTGAATTTTATTAACGTTGTTATTGTTATTATGTATAATACATCTTTGAACGATTGCTAAATTAATAGAACGTATGTATAAAGCTTTTATAAGTTTATACTGACTAATATTTTCCAAATGACTCCGTTTGCTAACGTAAATTTAATAATTATTGCAGCGAGTGAGCAAAATTTTATGCCTACTATATTGGTAATATTAAATTGCCGAACAACTAATAATTACGTAATCGATTTAATAATGATAGCGGGTAAGTCTAAGGCAGATTAGTTCTTCCTCATTCATACACTATTTTGAATAATTTTTTAAAAATTAATTATTGATTTAATATAATAGCACGTAAGTCAAAAGTTTATAAGTTTGCACTTATTGATATTCCATTACTAAATAATTAAATAATTATATTTGATGACACAATAGGCCGTAAGTTCAAGTTTTAAGTTTGTGCTAATTAATATTCCATTCTTAAATAACTCACTAATAATTTTAATATGCTCATTAATATTCCATTCCTAAATAACTAAATAATATATTTAATGACACAATAGATCGTAAGTTCAAGTTTTAAGTTTGTTCTTATTAATATTCCATTCCTAAATAACTAAATAATTAAATTTAATGACTAATAGAAGGTATGTTCAAGTTTTAAGTTTGTGCTTATTGATATTCCATTCCTAAATAACTAAATAATATATTTAATGACACAATAGGTCGTAAGTTCAAGTTTTAAGTTTGTGCTTATTAATATTCCATTCCTAAATATAATTAATAATTATATTTAATGATACAATAGAAGGTATGTTCAAGTTTTAAGTTTATGCTCATTAATATTCCATTCCTAAATGACTAAATAATTAAATTTAATGACACAATAGGAAGTAAGTTCAAGTTTTAAGTTTATGCTCATTTGCTCATTAACATTCCATTCCTAAATAACTAAATAAATATATTTAATGACACAATAGGCCGTAAGTTCAAGTTTTAAGTTCGTGCTCATTAATATTCCATTCCTAAATAACTAACTATTAATTTTAATAATATAGTAGCGAGTAAGTTTAAGCTTTAAGTTAGTGCTCATTAATATTCCATTCCTAATTAACTAAACTAATAATTTTAATAATATTAGCGAGTAAGTTCAAGTTTTAAGTTTGTGCTCATTAATATTCCATTCCTAAATAACTAAATATTTATATTTAATGACACAATACTGCAGTATATCCACTGAAATCATTAAAACCGGTATTTTCAATTCCTCAAACTCCTTAATGTTTTTAGGGCGTTACATTTGTACAAACCTAAATTTTTAAATAATTTTATTAATTTAAATATGCTCTGACACGCACTAAGAACTTGATCGAACCTTTTCACGGCGCAAATTGAAAAGTTTACATCTTATAATCAGTCTCACCATGAGCCTTCCTATATACATTTATTTCGAACGCATGGGAGCATACGTCCTATACACTGTAAGAAGCTACGATGTAAACCTAGGAAATTGTCGATATATGATAGTCCGTTTGGATAATCAAGATGGAATTTTGTTGTTCTCGGGTGTCTTTATGGGCTACGCCTCTGGAAGAAATTTAAATTCATCTGGTCTCGTCGAGAGCCCGACTTCATTTGCCTCCCCATCCATTAATGGAATTTTCCGCGAAGAGAATAATGGAGAACTTATCCTCGTCGGCTATATTACTCGCAAAAACTATCAATTACTCTATAGGTTCAGTTGTCTTGAATGTGATATGCTATTCAGCTACTCGAGCTTTTTGAATATTCATTCAAGAGTACATACTAGGGATAGGCGTAGGTCTAAATTTCGTTTAGAGTTTATAACCAGTTTTTTATCCCCATTAAAAGACTTAAAGGTCTAATGAATGATCGACCTTTTTTCTAGCGTATGGCTGTACATTTTCAGAGTGCAATAGTTCTTTCACAACGAATGGTAACAGAATTCGTCACGAAAGACGTTTCCACCGGTAAGTATTAAAAATTCCTTGGTATGTTCCAACAAAACGCTGATAAGAGCTGACGTGAAAATAAATTCTAGATCATAAAAGGATTCTTTCTCTTTAATAGTCCCAAAAAGTGAGGGGATTATATAAATAATTTAAAAAAAGTGTTTCTGTATTTTTGTTAAAAAAATTTTTCTCGATATCAAATTATATTTTCTGTATTTAAAATCAATAGGGAGAAAAAGTGATAATTGGGATAAATAAAGTAATTAAGATAATTAAAAATTGTATAAATGCGCTTGATTTTTTTCTATAATGAAGTCAACAATGTGTTCTTACCTTAAATTGCAAGTTTTTGCGTGTTAGCTTTTTTTGAAGCTTAATCGTGTACAATTCTTTGTAGTATTGCAAAGGCCATTGTGCAATCGCCCATATCTAAAGGAAGAAGCAATAAGCACAATCATAGAGCAAAAGCAGGCATCTTAGTTGCCAAGCAACAGATTTCCAACAGTAAATAGTATACCCAGCGCAATAAATTCAAAAATTCTTAATTTTAGAGGTTCACGAGTAAGAAATAAGTTGCTTACAAAGATCTCTTTCCCGTCTGGCTTAAATACTTTTTTAAATTAATTTTACTTAAAAAGAATATTATTCTCACTCAGATTTTATTAATATAATATAAGAAGAAACAAACGGGAATAGTGCTACGCTGCTATGACTAGTACAATTTACTTTCGACTACCTAAATTATCCTTATTTGTTTTTAGCTTATTTCTTCTTTCAACTCCAGTATCGGTGATTATAGATTCTTGTCACTTCAACATTGTTCGTTTCCTTCTCTATTCACACTTTCTTACTTCAATTTCTTATAATTCGTTCATTATCCTCATACTTCTACCCCATATCTTTTTATAGCGACTTATCGAAGAAAAACAAGAGTATCGGGAACTGGATTCATGCATGATGAATCGCAGTGACTTGAGTGTCAGAAAGCAAATCATTGAGCAGGGCTTCTCCAGTCAATGAGTAGGTTCCCAAGCACTCCACTTTTTTTTTTTTTTTTCGATCATCTAATAAAACTCTTATTTGGAAAGGTTGAGGAGCACGTCATCAAGCAAGTCCTTACAGGTTGACAAGCAGGTCCCCAAGCGATTCCTCTACTATACC